GTGTCACGTAGATAAGAATCCTATCTAAAATTTGCATAACCAATGACTTCTCGACACGTGACATTGGAAATCCTATCCAAAAAATTATTAAGATTACATAAAGATAAGAAATATGAAGAGTTACTCACTTTAGCAACACGTGTTACTCAAAATCCTATCTGAAAAGTTATTGAGATTATATAAAGACAAGAAATTCGCATGCTTATTCATTTAGTGACAAGTGGCATTCAAAATATGTCCGGAAACCTTATTTTAATATGGTAGTTTAATTTAATTAACCAAAAATTAAAAAACAAACTTAAAATAATAAATTATTGCGAGGGCTAAAAAATAACCCCTTTCAATTGGAGATGATATATAAATATGGCTTGGCACTTCATTAAAAAATAATTTCTTGTAGAGCTATAATCTAGATAGAGGCTAAACATAGCCCTTTCGGTTGGAGATGACCTTACCATTAGACACATTTGGGCTTTCAAAAATTGGGCTGGCTTGCTGACTTTCTTATTCCAGCCCGTTAGCCATTTGGTTGATTTATGGCCTGGTGGATCCTAAATTTTTTGGCCCAGACCTTCATTGGAGATGAGTATGACCCTTTGGCCGGCTCGGTTAGAGATGATTTTAATAGAACGGATAGCCCACCTACATCATTCAAAATATAAACTTATAATTAAATCAACAATTACAGATTATAAGCTTTAAAATTTTAGATATCTAGCACTCGTATATGAACCATGCCTAAGTGGCATCTTTATTAGAGGTTTACCTTCTGGGTAAACCATTAGTAAAATTATGAGTAATACTTAAGTTCAAATCAGAGTTATGCCCAGCTGCAGGACAATACCATATGATTACTTCAGCATGAAAACAAAATCACAAAGAGGGATATGTGATGAAAGCCTGTTCGCCAACAAAAATAATTGCAGACTGCGGTGCCTTAGACTGTAGGAGTAGCCGAAACTGAAGGAAATATGAGAGAAAATTGGTTACAATGGTTTGGACTGTTGAGAGTTGTTCCACATTGGTGAGGGCCAATGTTTGCTATGTGCTTATATGGTATTGGGCTACTCTCCATATTGTCAATTGGTTTTATGGTGAAACCTCAATTTCATTATGGACATATGAAAAGAAGGCTTACTGACGCTCCGGTTAGAAGATGCGACTACGGGACAAAGATTCAGGGCCAAAGGGGTAGAGGAAGACCTAGGAAAACTTTGGAAGAGACTCTAAGAAAAGACTTAAGAGTACTTAGATCTAACGGAGGATATGACACAGAACCGAGCGCAATAGCGTTCTAGGATTCATATAGCCAACCCCACTTAGTGGCAAAAAAGCTTTGCTGTTTTTGTTGTTGTTGTTGGTGCATCAGACTGTAATAAGGACAGCAAGGTTTCGTTCCTTCTGTTTTTACGGCATATCTGCTGAGTATTAACAGAATTAGCATATTCGAAATCAGATCATTATGAACAAAGACATCTCTTATGTAATGTGACTGAAGACAATTGTTGAAAAAAAGTACCAAAAAAGCAGATGTATAACATGAATACATTATTCAATTACAGGTAAACCAGAGAGAATGATGGAGTCGGTTGCATAATTAAGAATTTTCGTATAACAAATGTATGCTGTAAAAACATGATGGCATAGGCTGAATTGGATTAACATGGACATGAATTGCATCATTCTGTAAAACACAAACATACTATTATGACACATGAAATTAGGGAGCATTGTATGAAACCCGTATAAAGGTGACATGGAACTAGAACTACATCAGCAAACCTTGGTTCATTTCTGCTGTATACAGTCATGTAAAAATCGTCTGTGCTGAGGGATAGAAGCCCTAGCAAAAACAGTCTGTCGAGTATTGATTGAAGAGTAGGATGTCAAAAGTTTTCGAAGAGAAGCAACTTGGTTGGAACTGAACATGAAATCAACCTAACCAAACAGTGAATATACGACGTTAGTTCATTATTCTCAGACAAACTTGATTAACCTTTTGGACAATATCTCACTCTACTCATAAAAGTTTCATCTGCCACACAAAACTAGCTAATGAGCAATTAAACACCAAATTGCATTCCAAATTACCTCATCAATTACCAGCACTAGCATCGATTCAAGCTTAATCATCTGCTTCTCAAGCATTTGGACAAACTCCCAATAGTTGCCACCACAATAGTAGGGGGCTCCGCCTGAAACAGCATTGATGCACCGATTAAACCACATCATTCAAATACAATATCTCTGTGTAACATCATACAACTACAGAAATCTAAATCATAGAACACATGTAAAACAAAATGAACAATATAAACTAAATTGCAGCACTTTTAACCAACTCTTGTGCTTGGTCAACATTCCTCCATCTAAAAGCACCATAACAGTACACAATTTCTGCTCGAATTCACCTTCCTTAGGCTTCGCGGCCAATCCAAGCAACCTTCGTAACCTTGCACATAAAATACGCATAAATTCATCATCTTGAACTCACTTACGCAAAATAAGCATAATTTACACCATACAAAGTGCAAATGCAATGCAGCCATTTTTAATCAGTGCAAGAGAATCGAACTTGCATCCCAAGTTCCCCAGTGGGGACCACAATGAGAGCTTGAACAACCAATCTCCGAGTGTTCACAACGGAAAATATCAAAAGCAGGTACGTCAGCGTCTTCCCAGAACTTGTCTAATTACCATAAATCACACAACAAGATTCAAACTTTGGCTACAAAACACACCTACGGCACCAAAGGGTTTACAAATTTTGACCTGCACGTGGAGTATGCAGTCGCAGCCAGAAAATATAGTCGACAGAGCCTGCCGCTATACGGGCGTCGGCGTGACGAACCCCAGTTCTTCCATTACGTAGAGCACGTGGTTAGGCACGTGGGATTGGCAGATTTAGCGTACAGTGAGGGGTTCATGTTTGGATTCGGCGTCGGTGGCGACAAGGGGAGTGTTGAGAATGGCCTGTAATGGACGACAACTGGATACGATGCCATTGAAGGAGAAAAGCCTAGAGTTAAGGCTTAGTGAGTGAAAGTGAAAATGGGCATGGCGGGGATTCTGAGTTGGGAGTGAGAGTGGAAGATGGAGGAGCTGAGAAACATTGAGCCGCATGAAAGGAGTCGCTGACTCGGTCCCCCGGGCCCCGCGCCGGGGGGGGGGGGGGTGGTGGTTGCTGTGATTGTAGAGGGAAGATAACGTATATTAAGCGGGAATAGTATTCGTGTCCGTTTTCTTTTAATTTTGTAATAGGAGTGAGAAACGAAATTGTCAGGGAGAGACACGTCAGCTTGAAGGAGTATGGTTGGAGCGAAAGAGATCCTCTCCGGATCTCTTCCACCAAGACTACCGAATCAAGTGATCCCAATCCTTAAAATTTGATTCAACATCTAAAATTATTATAACTTTTAAATGAAGCTCTTATTTTTAACCGTTGGATCAAATTTCAAAAGTTCGGATCACTTGATCCGATGGACTTGATAGAAGAGATCCGGAGGGTTGGAGTTGTTGGAAGGTCAATCCAACGACGAGTCATCCCTCATTAAGCTTTAATCAAATCTAACATCATTGGCCTATTCCCTTACACTTTACTATATGTTGTAATCGTTTTCACGCACCTTTTAGAAGGTGGAGATACACAAACTCGCTTACCTGTAAAACAACAAACAACTTAAGGACCAGTGAGGTGACGGTTAAAGGTTCTCCGACAATTAAGTAGTAAGTAATATTTAAGATTCAGGGACTAGACAAAATAATAAGGATCAGATAATTAAGTTACTAGAGATGAACTCTAAAAGAGTGTATTTATACCAGTCAAGAAAGAGTTTTTTTAGGATAATCCGTATTAAACTATGAGAATCCCCGAGATGTCTAGAGTAGATAGTGCATCCTCTTAGGACTATGATTACTTGCGGCGCACGCCAATCTTTAGATTGTAGGAATTTCAAGAATATAGGGAAATTAAATGATTCCATACCGGATCAGGTTTCCGTACCTTATCAAACAAACATGGTCAATCTCAACGAAATTGATGGACTTCGTCCACTACTTTGCAACAAAATGATGGCCGCATCGTTGATCCATATGTGCAACACTGTGATAGAAGTTGTTGAGTCAATGATCGGACTTCTAAAATAGTTGTATTCCGATTAGCCTGACTCCAGCCCTAGAATATCATGATCTCACACAATATTTCTTCCAAAGTCCTTTTTATTTGGGAAAATCTCATTTTTTATCACTTAAAACTACTATGTCGTTAAGAATCAAGATCAATACTACACTAATTAATGGATCATCTTAAAAAGAAAAACCAAAGTTAGGATAGTGGAGGGTTTTTTTTTCCCATCAAATGTTAGTTTTTTCTTCTCATTTTCACTAGTAATTACCTATATAAGAAAGTTGAAGTGTGAAATTGTCATATCCTCCGCCACACTACTTTTGGTCAAGTTAATTTTACTTATAAACACTTATTAGAAATATGAGCTGTAAACACTTTCAAATTATTATGCCGAACATCACTTTGTTGTAAGAACCACTTTTTAAGCACTTTTAAATAATTCTGCTGAACATCACTTTTAATTGGAAGAACGTGTTTTTAGCTATTTTCACTAGACAATGAGACTTGCTTAGTTTTTTGGTAAGAAAATTGCGAAGGTAGTGGGTTGCTAGAAAACTTGACTTGACTTTGCCATTGCCAACAATAAACCAAAACCAAATGACCAAATGAAAAAGAAAAAAATGTAAAAACTAGACAATATTGAGACTGGTTATATTTTTAGGAAAACTAATGAAAATGACTTGAAAACGTTGAGTTTAACGATAAGGATAAAATAAAGGATAAAGTGAATAATACCAAGATAAATTTTTTAGTGTAAAAATATGATTTTTCGTTAAAATAAACAATACCGAAAGTTTTTTTTTAAATTTCCTTGTATTTTTCTCATCAATCAAGCATTTGATTCCATCAAACCAAAGCGTGTGAATCGGTGTTTAGCTTTGCTGCTGCGTTTCATGATCCTCTCTATCTCTCTCTCCTCCCTAAAATTCCTTACTTTGACCCTTTACTCTTTCATTCCCCCCCTCCCCACCCAAAAAAACTTTTCTAGGGTTCCCTCTCTTCTTCCTCCCACACCATTCACCCCCACTTCCTCCATAAACCTCTCTCTCCCTCTGCACCTCTCTCTCCCCCTCCGCATTGCTCAAAAATGGCGTCTTTCGCTCCCTCTTCTTCTCTTAACCCAAAACCAGTCTCAGCTCCGCCTTCATCCTCCCCGGATCTTCTCGACGACTCCAACGAAGACTCCTGCAGCATCTGCCTCGAGCCCTTCAACTGCGACGACCCAGCAACTGTATGATCCTTGAAAACCTGAAAAGCCTGTGTATTGTTGTAGAACTCAGTGTTTTGTGCTTACCCACCTGACAGTCTTTACTGGGTCAGTCTTGTAATGCTGATTGGGATTTTGAATTTAAGATCGCTTTCGGTAGTCTGATTATAGTGCTTGCTTTTGCGATTTCTGATTGTGTGATTCTTTTTGGTAGCTGAAATAAACTGTGATCTGTTAGTCAATTAGGATAATTTGTTTTATTTTATCAGAATTTTTGGGGTTCTTTCGGTTGCTGAGAAACATGGTTGATGGAAAAACAATCTGTAATCTTGTGTTTGATTTGATGTATATTGTTATCATAAAGCATGATGATTCAGTGAAGTATATTCTTTATTAACACAATCTTTCGGATTGTTTGGGATTTGATAGAGATGAACGAGCGAGAATGCACAGTGATGATTGTGATCATGCTAAAGTTATTTCGCGAAAACTAGTTATCTTGTATTTGTTGTCGTACCAAATAACTGTAGCACAGAATGGATGCTAGATATCTTGTATATGTTCTTTGTTTGCGAGTATTGCACTCATAGATTTAGACGTTTATCTGAGTGTTTAACCCTAGAATTTCTTCTTGCTTCAGATAACCAGCTGCAAACATGAATATCATCTTCACTGTATATTAGAATGGTAACCCCACTTTATGTTATTATAGGTTAATGTCTTAATTATTATCCATCCTCCTTGGTCTACCCATGAAAATTTGTAATTTGCTGTTTCCTAATTGAGACTGGTTTTTTTCTTATTGATCTTGCCATTCTTTTAGGTCACAAAGAAGTAAAGAATGCCCAATTTGTTGGCAGTTATTTTCCCTGAAGGATCCTGCTTGGTATGTAACTTTCTCGAACTCATGCATGTGATACTTCTTGGTTTCTTTCTGTTATGTTTCAATGAAATTTTTATTTTTTGCATAGCCAAGGGCTTCTAGCTGCTATACAAAATGAGAGGAACTCAAGGTCAAGAAAAACATCTTCCATGGCACCCCAAACTTGTGATTCATCTGAGGACTTTGATGTTGAGCACGTGAGTTTTTATAAAAAATTTGGTAATACTTAATTTTTCTTGCTGAGAACGGGTCTTTCATTGACAGCCAACTTGAACTTTTCAGGAATCTTTCTCAGATGACTCCGATTTGGATGAGCGCATCATGCAGCATCTTGCTGCTGCTTCTAGCAGAGCTCGTTATGCTCGCAGAAGGGAAAGACAGAGATCATCTGGGCTAGGTCCTTCCCATGTTTTTGTTTTTTCCAATCATGAAAATGTGCCTGGTTTCCAGCAAACATACCCAATTTCTCCAGAAGATTTGCCAACTTCTCAAGGGCCATCGGTTATTCAATCTCCACCATCTTTTATCTGCAGCACTGCTGCCAATAGTGATATCCCGTACAAACCAAGGTATGCAACTAAGGCCAAAAGTTATTCCCTAATGTGGATGCACTTTAAATTTTATTTTATTCTAGTACATACACAAGAAATGGATATATGATCCAACTCACGGATGCAAAATGAATATTTTGCAAAAAGTTACTGCCTTGTGCTGGTCACCTGGAATGTAGTTTGCAATATAATATGAAGTGGATGGATAGAAGGTGTTATCTCGTGGCACATGAATATGATTTAAGCTTGTTTTGTCATCTTTGTTGTCTGTGGTATTCATCTCTTCTTTTTATCTTCCGGTGGCTTACCATTTCTTGGTCATTCCAGAATGCTTTATGGCCGGCCATCACCTGATGGTCCACACAGACCAAGCCCGTCCGAGACTGTCAATTTGCCTGATTCTATCAAATCCACGTTGTCTGCTGCCTCAGCCAGGTAGAAATTCTACTGCTGTACTTCACTTTGAAGTTGATGTTGACTCCTTTCTTATACTCATATTTGAAAATTGTGAAAGATACAAAGAGTCAATCTCAAGAAGCACTCGGGGCTTTAAGGAAAAGCTACTTGCTCGTAACAACTCAGTCAAGGAGCTGAGCAAAGGAGTTCAACGTGAGATGAATGCAGGAATTGCTGGTGTTGCAAGAATGTTTGAGCGCTTTGACCTTACTCCAAAGAAACCTGCAGCCCCTACTCCTGTTTCTTGCCCTAGCGGAGGAGGGACTTCAAACTTATCCTTCAAGGGAAAAGGTGTGCTAGAGACTGTTATTGTTCATTCTTGTAATAATAATGGGAGAGTTGGTGATGAAAGTTCAGATGCACCCTCTCGTGTCAAAGCTGCTACAGCAGACCGAGTTGAAGTTTCTTCTGCACAGGTTCTATAAATTTACATTTTGGACCATTTTTTTTTTATTGATTGATTGTTGCTAGATAATATTGAAATCTGAAACCATTTTTCAAAATATAGAACCAAGAACAACATTTTGATACACAGAAGCCTTCTCAAATGTGCATTATTATTTCATTTGCCCAACTTTATTTCCGTTTGTATTACATGCGAAGCAACACCTAACGTACACCTGCTTTTCTTGCAGAGCGGACACTGATGCCATACGGAGTTTGGATTTGGCTCAACTCCTAATAGGTTGTGTTTAACCTCTAGAGTGCACGGCATGTGTTTTACCTGTCAAGCATTAGACACCCCAGCAAGTGACGTTATGCGAAGAGCCAAACCGCTGGTTGGTTTTGCGTCCTGCTCGTTGCCTATTTATGCAACATAGAAACCGCAGTTGATGAGTTATTTCTCCTGCCCTGCACATTTTCCTTTCCTTTGCTTAGTATTAAGTGGATTCTGGTGGGAATTCCTAATATATAGCAGTCGTCGCAACTGCTTGAACTTATTTTATAACATACATGTCCTGCGTCTTTTGTTTTCATTAGTCCTGGAAGCTACCAATAAAATTACTTAATCAAAAACTAACGATTTCAAACCAAAAGTGATTACTGGTGTGACCTTGAATAAGTTTCTTCTGCTTGAGTTCAGTTAAGCAGGCATCTACACCCCAACCATCTTCGTATAAAGTATTTTCTACGGTAGCACCATGAATGTCGCATAACAGAGCAGCGCCCAAAATCGTGGCAATTCCCACCATACAAAATGAGTTCAATGATCAATTATGAAACCCTTTGAAGCTACACACCAACCAAACTAAACCTGACAGATAAATTAGGAATGCATAAACAAAAACAGGGGAATGTGATTGCAAAATATGGTCGGATTCTTGGGTAAAATATGAACTGGGAAACAAAGCCAATGGCGGGACATGCCCCAGTCGTAAAACCATAACGTGCGAAAACTTCAAACTAGCTGAGATATCTCATGCCGAAACTCAGGCTTCTTCATAACCTTATTCACAAACTAAACTCAACAGAGCTCGATTATTAAGGATGCAGATGGATGGCATGTCTCATCATATAGATCAAGCAGTGTGTAAATTGTCATAAAAACTAAGAGCTCTAGATCTGTCCCAAAATTACATCCCCGCCAGAAACCTTGAAGTCTGATGGGACTTCCTCCACATTTAGAGTTTTCACCTTCCCGTCAACCACATAAGCTGACCATCTGCATCAAGAGACCAAAAACACTCAATTTCAAAACACAAAAACAAATACAACTGATGGTTATTACCTTTGAGAGCGGTGTCCAAGCAAAGCACCACTGAGATCTTTATCCAATTCCAAGCTTTTGTGGAAGCTCCCATCGAAGTCCCCGTAGAACTCAATCTATTTAGCCAAATTTCAAATAAGTAAACTGATGATGTGATAGTTTACATTGAATCAATAAAGCACTGTTGCTAAACTTTGAAGGAATTGCCAAATGAGGTTTGTACTATGTACAAGCGAAAACAAAGAAATTAAAAATTCACAACTATAAAAACCTCGATTGTTCTCCAAGTAAGTTAGCCTCGAGACTGACTCATGAACTATTACAAGTTAGCCGCTTAGACAAGGAATGCAACTAGCTACAATTTGGAATTTGATTTTGGGATTGATGATTCAGACATCCATCTATCTACTTTTGATTCAATTCAAGTCACTAAGAGCAGCGCAACCTGAAAACCTACTTATTTCGAGATACAAGAAGGCAGTACTCAATATAAAGAGAAAACTTACAGCTTCCTTGGCTTCGAGGTTGTTTGCCCAGCCATTCATAACATATGGATCATTCACAGCTACACAAATCACAGAGTCAACCCCTTTGGCCTTAAACTTATCAATTTGGTTCTTGTAACTAGGCACGTGTTGCGCAGAACAAACACCGGTGAAGGCACCCTGACATATCGAAAACAAAATACCCACATAAATTCCTCTACTAGAAACTCACAAGATTCAAAAGTTCAGTGCTTTTGATTCATAATTTACTCAATTTTTCAGTGTTTTACTGACCCTAAATTTGGCATTTCTCACTAACATATATCTAATTACATAAAACGTATGATATAAACAGAGAGATTAACTTACAGGAAGCCCAAAGATGACGACTTTCTTGCCCTGAAACACAATTTTCACAAAATATTGAGCCACAAAAATCTTGAAATTTTACTGAAACCAGAAAACTAACAGAATAATTAAATAAATAACTGAAAAAAATCAAACCTTGAAAATGTCTTTGAGAGGAGTGGCGGCGAAGTCGGAGGAGACACCATCGTCCCAGGTGCGAGCTTTCTGGAGGGAAACATTGGGTGCGGCGGAGACTAAGTCGGTCCCGACTGCAGCCGCCGCGTAGGCTCTTGATTGAGCTCCGATTTGGAAGCCTCCGACCACTGATTTCATTGCGGAGAAGCTCGTTCGCTTCAGAAGTGTGGACGCCATTGCTGAGTGCTGAGCAGCAGAGTCGACAGCCTCGATTCGTTTCGCTTTGTTGGTAAGTTGCTCCCCAATTGGAGGAAGGTGGCGATTGTAACGACCTATCAGAGGAGAGGGCCTTAAGATAACGGTCTGAATGGTTCTACTCACTCGGGCTGGCAGTCACGTCTGGATCATTCATGGGCCGAAATGCGAAACAACGTCGTCTTGGAGTTCCCACAAAAAAAAAAAAAAAAAACCGTCGTTTTGGTCTTCGGAATGGGCATCTCATTTTCACGAATCGGTTTGTTTCTGTCCATCGATTTTGTTTTGATTTTTTTTTCTTTATAGTACATCAATAATTTTATATTAAGAAAAAAAAGAATTCGGTTAAGTCATACAATTGGTAGTTTAATTTGGTATTGAATTATCCGTTCACAAGATTCGAATCTAAGACCTCTCACTTCCAAGTGAGAAGGAATACCACCAAATGGTATTACTGAGTGGTTTGTTTTGATTTAATAAACTTAGAATTCGAACAAAAATCAGAATTTAAAATTCACATGCACCTGTTTTCTTATTTAGATTCATTAACGTAATAATTTAGAACTTTTGCATGATTTTTTTTTTTTTTTTGGAAATTTGGGACCTCTAATTTCCAAGTCTAATTCTATATAAATCTGTGTCATTTTCTAATTTATATGAGAGTTAGCTTAAAATTAAAATATACAAAAAAAACTTAATCATGAGTGACCACTGCCACATACCATTGTGACCCATGTCACCGTCACCACCATCACTATTAACACATTTTCTAACTACCATCTCTCATTTGCATATTCATGACTATGCACATTAAATTCTGCATTCAAAATTTCATTATTTTTTTAGGTTAATCAAACAAAAAAATTCACTCATTCTAGAAAAACAAATTCTGTCATTTCGATTTCCGTCATTTTGGAATTTTTTTAGTAATCTTAAATTTCTTCATCCAAACACAATGTAAAGTTTAAAAAATAAGAGGAAAAGTGCAGGAAAATAACTTTTCTTAGGTATTGGTTCAGTCGAAACGACTTTTTGATTAGAATAATTTATTTACAAGTTTGTATTTTAACACAGAAGATATTTGGATTCTTACAGGTAAAAAGTCGTTCATTCTTGTAAACAAATGATAATTTGCTATGTGTGCATAAAGTTTTTTCTAGACTAATAATGTATTGTCGCATATGTTTCAAATTCATGAATTGCAGATAAGGAGGAATGATTTCTTACACTAATGTCCAAGCCTAAATTTCGTATGCCACCTCATCTTTAGTATTTACGACAACAAAATTACGAGGCAAAAAAGGGAAGCGGATCCCCTCCAGACCCAAATATATTGAGCCTGCTGAGCAAGGGATCAGGGTTATTGAAATTTGATCCAACGGCTACAATTATTATAATTTTTAGAAGGGGACTGTTTGTAGCTGTTGGATCAAATTTTAACGGCCCAAATCCCTTACTCAACAAGCTTAGTTTTATTGGGTCCGGAGGGGATCTGGTTCCGCAAAAAACAATTTCATCTGAACATATTGAACTTTTTGGCGGGGAATGAAATACAACGCATTTAAAATAAAATTAAATTAAAAAAAACTCGTTGATCAACCGTCCTGACACCTGTCCTCAGGTAATCTATATAAACAACGAAATAAATCAACTAGAAACAAAATTCAAAGTGTATCAAAAGAAATCTCAAGAGTTGTCTCAATCTCCTGGCATCTATTGATGAGTCGATATTATGCTATATATTTTACCTTACTTTTAGTTACAATTTATTGGTTATTTTGGTGAAATTTTGATACCTTGATTGATATTCTTAATGTAAGATATTCGACTTCCTCTTGATCAAAAATTGATCAAATGGACGAGTTTTGAAGTAATTCTAATTGGAGGATGTTCGTGTCAAAGTTTTACATTTTTCTACTTGGTGGATAATTTATGACGATTAAATAATGAAAGCAACGCATAATGCTGTCAAAGTGACATTTTAGGGTTAATTGAGTTTTTTGGCATCTAAGAAGGTGTCTTGACAACGGTCTTATATGTTCAAGACATCTCAAGCTTTGAAAAAAGTCATTTTGGGTTTTTTATTAAATTCGTTATTATTATTTTAAATTTCAAAATCAAACCCTTTCCAAACTTTGTTTTAAATAGTCAATTAAGAATTAGTTTAAATACAAATTATTTATTTAATCCTTGTGGAAACACCTTGCATGACTATTCTTACTACAATTATCTTATTTCTTACTATAATTACCATATTCTCTTACACGTATTTAAAAATATTTTTATCCCTATTTTTGTAGTGATACTTCTTTTATTCTACAACTAGATTTGACCCTGGATGAGGTCAGAGACTCGACGGACCAAAGTAACGCACAACCGACAGCTGCAGTCTAAGTGCAATACAAAGCACCACGAATATCAGGTCCCTGAAATTAAAAATCATAGGAAAAACAAGAATTGGTCAAGTTTCATTCATAACTAAACATGCAAGGAAATCATCACAGAAAAAAGAAGGAGTGTGATATCCACACATCCCATTTTACTTCTCACACACCTTTTTAATTTTCAATCGTCGGATCGGATGAATGGAAGAAGATCAACGGACAGAAATTATCAAGAGGTATGTAAGAAGTAAAATACGGTGCGTGGATGGCACACTCCAAAAAGAAAAGAATCGGATTCCCAGACTGTTGCGTTAGATAGGAGGGAAAGTTGGTTCTTAAGAATCTAAGATGCCACTGTTGGGGCATATATTCTACGACGACAGATGAATAAGCAGGAGCAGCATTCACTTTCATGAGTTCATCTCCTACTAACTAGCAATGACAACCGTTCAAAGTCAGCTACAACGGTGCTAGTCCTGCATTCCCTCCCATCATGGACCATATTGCAAAGTTGGATACGCAATACGAGCAATTCAAATGCATTAAACATCTAAGCCCGGCAGCATCATTCGTTAAACTAGGCAGTTTGGATAACAACAGGAAATATACAAACAATTGGCAATGTGTCTGGGAAATACAATCTCTAATGCAGTAAGATCAAACCGAAAACTAAAACATAATCCGTTAAACCGCGATATGAAACAATACTTACTCTTGTTCTGTGCTTGCCACTTCTGTATGCTGGTATACCAACTCCACTGAAAACACAGAGCAACAAGGCGAAACAAACCACCTGCAACCACCTCAAAAAATGCCATAACGAACGACCTCCGAGGAGACAACCCAGCAGTGGCAATGGACAACAATAACCCTTCAAAGTTGCAACGCACAATAAAAGAAGCGGACTTAATGCCATCCAAAGCCCTCTTCGCAACATCTTCGGCTTTCATCGCCCCAGACGACTCCGCTATAATGCCAGTCAGCGGCGGCCGCCTCTTGTTCTCTACAACAATTGAATATCAAAATTAGAGCGAAATCACGCGAAGCCACATTGTCTAGAGCGGATGTGCTCCCCAATGCACCAAAGTTTGAATCTCCCTACCTGCATTTAACAATCCAATGCATCCAAGTTCGAATCCCCCTCCCCATGTTTAGCAGTTTGTATTAGTTTAAAGTAGAATATCGCTCGTATGAAAACTCAAGGCGAAACAATCAAATTCCACGTCCAACATTTACAACTCTTTTACAGTTTTACCTTCAGCCAAACCAGGGGTGTCTGTGTCTGGCGGGAATACAAGAGAAACGTGAATGTCGTGAGAAATCACCTCTTGCTGCAGAGCCTCGCCCAAGCCACGGAGCCCGACCTTGCTGGCGGAGTAGGCCGTGTAGCCGTAGATTCCGACCCGGCCGGCCTGGGATGACATCAGCGCGATCGAGCGGGGCCCACGGTCCTCTCCCTTCTTCATTTCGGGGTGAGCGGCTTTGATCATGTTGAAGCTCCCAATCAGATTCACCTCCACCATGAACTTCACCTCATCCAATCCCTGCTTCTCGAGCTCCTCGGCGACGAACACCCCCTGGTTCACGATCAACAAGTCGATGGGACCCGCCTCCTCCACTGCCTTCGATACGGCGTCGTAGTCGCGGACGTCGGCGGCGAAGAGTGACACGTCGATGCCGGTGGAGAGCTGGATGTAGTTCTTTGCTTCCTCGAGCTTGTCGAGGGAGCGCGCGAGGATGGAGACTCTTGCGCCCTCCGTGGCGGCCTGGTGGGCCAAGGCGAGACCGATTCCGCTGGAGCCTCCGGTGATGAACACGTGGCGGTTCTTGATTGGGATGTTGACGGGGTGGGGCCGGACTATGACGTAGAGAATGAGGAAGAGGAGGGCGAGCGGGAGGAGGAGGAGGAGGAGGAGGGCGAGGAAGGAGAGGTCCGCCATTGACGGAGATTCGAAAGCGTTGATAGTGTGAGTGTTTGCGTTGTGTACTTCAGTTCAGCGACTACTTTGTGGTCTCCGCCTAAAATATGGGCCGCACAGACCCGGACTGGAAATACATTTTCAGGCCTTGGCCCACCTGAACCGAAATATGGCCAGAGTTTGGGTCTTACGTTGTGCAACCAGGCCTAATGATATTAATAATTATATTGGAATAAGTCTCATAATGGATTAACCATAATAATTTTAATTCGATTTTGTCTTAGGGAGAATTGAATTCGAACCAAATACCTCTCATTTACAACTAAAAAATAATACGTATTACAAAGTGGTGAATCATGTGAGACCTTAATCACATACTTTCTACCCACCCTAAGTACTTTCCCAATTAAACTTAGGCTTACACCCCTAGAATTCGATTTCAATCCCACATTATTACCTAAACCTCATAGTTCGCTCCACTTTGCCCCTAGAACTCGATTTTGATCCCATTTTACCCCCTTAAACTTGAAATTCGTCTCTATAAAACTCAAAATTCGCTTCACATTATCTTAGATTTGTTCATTTCTTATGTGGGTTTGATTTGGGTATGCCAAACTAATCAATTTATTTATTTATTTTCATCTTTTCAATTTATTTTAAACTTAATATTCTCTTATTGTTGAATGTTAACGAATAATAGAGATTGATAATCAAGTTTATTACACATGTAGCATAGTCTTATTCGATGTTGAGTTCCACATATGTTTCAGAAGGCAACCTATAAGTTTTAGGGAGAATAGAGAATCCAAGAGTCAAAGTGGAACAAATCTTTAGTTTTAGAGAGTAAAGTGGTGACTTTTTGAGTTCCATGAGCAAAATGAGATCAAAATAGAGTTACAGAGTGCGTAGCTAAAATTAAGCTTTAAGTTTGTTATTAAATGACTATACCCCTAATATGAAATAACTATTTAGGCCCCAAACTTACTTTTCTCAAGCTCTCAAAAGTCAAAATCATTCACTTGAACATAATTGTAACTCCCACCCTCCATTATCTGAGATCAAATTTTCTGCATTCAAAATGAGTGTGGCTTCTTTGTGACCCATTGACACTTAATTATTATATTAACATTTCTTAATTTTATTGTCTTAAATTTAATATTTGTCAAATATTTTATTAGAACCATAGAGAAATCACACCTATTTTGGGTGCAAAAAAATTATTATCCCATAAGTTCTCGTTGACCACGGCCTACAGGAACCAGGCTATCTACCGCTTTTAACCCTGTTTGCATAGGCTCGTGCACAGATTTACGTTCAATAATCCCAGGAGCTTTCACTTCGGCACGTCTTCGCTCGTGACCGCTTAGAGCCCCTTATCTTCAATCTTTCTATATCGTAGAGAGATTGGTTTACAAATAAATAAACTAAATTTGGAGACAAAAGGAGGGAAGCATAAAATAAAATTATGAGGGAGACAATGATGGAGAAACAAAGTAGGCTATTTTGGCAGCCAATAGATCTTGTCACTTGTTTAAATGAAATTTCTTTGGCCGAAAAAAAGTGGAGAGTTCGCAGAAAGTATGGGGGTGTGTGTGAAAAGTTTGGAGTGTAAGTAGCGTCGGGTATGCGGGCAATACGAGAATATAATTATTAAGATAAATTTTAATGGAGAAAATAGGTGTAGGCTGTATTCAATAATATGTAGAGTGTTAATATATATATATATATATATATATATATTTTCCATCTATCGATATTCTACTTTACCATATAAACTGTCACTTAGTACTATATTCATCTTTATATGTAAGTGAGAGGTCTTATGTTCGATTTTCGCCAAAGATGAATATGAACAACATTATTATGATTAATCTATTGTAAGATTTAGCCTACTCCCTCACCGTCCTAGTGTAGATATCATCATTTGTTGCAAAAAATAAAAATAAAAGACACTAACATAAGACTCATCACATATGAGTTGAAAATTAAATTATATAATTCATCAAATCTCAAGGTATGTTAAAGTAAGAAACTACCGCGGACTTTTGCATGATTCTCCTTTTGTGATTACATAAAATGTAAATATATATATATATAACCGAAAATTTGCTAAGAATCTCCGTATTGTTATCTATCATTAGTTGTGAATCGTGACATTTTCTTGTGTTTTAAAAGCAAATGTTGAGCTTTCAATTCCATTCCAAGATATGGATGGACACAAACGTAAGTGCGGCACCACTGGATTCATTCTCGTTGAATAATTCACCGATTGTTTATTTTGAAATTTGGGAATTATAAATCCCTTATCTCAAATTTCAAATCTCAAATCTCATCCAAAAAAGAAGGAAAAATAAATAAAACTAATAGCTATCTAGATCTCAAAGCAAAATCAACGCAAATATTCCCTGACAAATATTCTTATTTGTTTTCAATAATTTGTCAGTCTCACTCTTTTTATTGTTCCACTACCAGTTTGGAAACGTTACTACATAAAAAGATTTTATTTTATTTTATTTATTTTTTTTTTTGTCAAACGATAGATTTTGTTAGATTAGCTAACGCCAGAGTTTGAATCCATAACGTCATACAAGGGCTCAACACCTTTCCACTACTATGATAAAGGGTCACTTGCACACAAAAGAATTATTTACTTACTGAAGTTTTTAAGGAAGTTAAAGTTTTATCGTAATATATTAATAATAGGGTGTTGATTCAACACGTTAGAAAAGTATTCTAATAACATAAAGGATTTTGATATTTTACCATAAAACGTGAAAGACTCAACTCAACTCCTAATAAACTCATACATAGTTTCTCAATTTTTCGATATATGATAATTATGATTTCACACCCTCAACAATTCTATGTAAGCCTCAGCCGACAGGGTCTGTATCAGAAGTGAGAGGTCATGTGGCTTGCTGGGCTGCCAGCATGGAAGGGACACAAAAGTTGAAAACTATATAAGAAAAAGAACCGAAAAGAATTCCTAAAAGAAATGGAAAATATGGTGTTTAGACTTTAAAGAGAGAACTCAAACATGGCATCGAAAATGAAAGGAATGCCTTCTGAAACAAATGCATGATCATGCATATAGTTGTACTATCGAAACGTGACATTCTGAGGGAAGAGTCTGCAGAGTTGTTTTCGAACCCTAGCGAAAACTGTTCATGTTAAAGTGAGAAATGAATTGATAGTAGTATAATAGAGCTACTTTTAAGTTTACTGAAATTGTTGAGTTGTTTAACGTAAGATATTTATGAAATCATAAGAACAACAAGACATTAGGATCACAGATTTAATACACCAATACTAATTAACTTATTTGTAGAATACGGAAGACACAACTCTTACAGATGATAAATGAGTATTCTACTCTCACCAAACAGAAGTGTTTCAGCAATGATATAGTTTGCTCATAATGAAACGTGTGTATTGTGAAAGCAGGGACATCCTTAATATAGTGATTAGGGTTCCTTTAAAACCGCCTATTATAGTTAATAGAGAGAGACACCTAATCACTATTAAACCAAAAATGTTGTCTCACCAAGGTATGTACAGTATATCTTACTTAGGGTTCCAAATAACCAACTGAAGTATCTCGATTCCATGATTCTTGTCAATCAATATAAATCACTATGAGAATCAAACAAATTGAAGATCAAATTACTTAGACTTTCAAGTTATTTGTTTTTCATAATAATTGACAACTCAAGATGAGTCTTACATGTAAAATTTCATGATGAAAATGTAACACTTCTTGCACCACATAATCCTCATTATTATGCCATGAAAGTCCGACCAAGAACCTATTAATTTGTTGCTAATTGATTTTAAATTAGATGCTTGATTACATCGCAAATGAAAAAGTTTAGTGAATAATGATGAGAGTAGGGTTTGGTGATTAAGCTTCAATCATACTACTCTAACGACTCTATAAAGTAGCAATCACAAAACATCATGCAAAGTTCAGAGAGGAAAAGAGAAGTGATTAATTATGTCATGATTAATTATGTATGATCATGATTAAAGAGAAAATTGAAAATCGATGCCCGCAATGATCTGCAATGATGCAGCTCCTTTGCCAACGGCCCTAATTGATTCCAATAATTTAAACAAGAACATATGTTTATACCCAAATGAATAGCTTTCCTTTATAGGTTGATTTGCAACCAACCAAATAGCTCACATGCTTGTAACTTCCACATCATCTGTTTTTTTTCCTTTCCATAATTCCAAGCATAAAACGATTCCAAGATGTTTTCTTCCAATTTGCAGATCCAGCAAGCTGCCAAGCTTTGTTGTCTGAATGTTGCACCTCAATCCGTGCCAAGATCTTTGTTTTCCCAATTGGGTTTATGCTCACCAACTAGGGTAACTTGGTTGAAGTACTTGTTTTTACTACAAATGTAACTCTCATTAGATCTGGCATACATTTATGTTGCCTTCAATCGAACTTTCATTTTTGGCTAGTATTTTAGCGGAATGGATTTCAACACACCATCTGTTTCCACATTTACACGTTATGCTTATATATTTCTAACCATTAGATCAAATAGAATAAAGAAAATCAACAAACAAGAACAAGCAGAGTATAAAAATGGAGAAAAAGGTGTGTAGAAATAATTTCCTTATTCTAAACTATTCCATACTACGGGGAGGAAAATTCGAACTTGGGTGCAAGCAAGGGAACAAATTGCCCTGATCAACTAACGTAACTCACATATCTTGACTTAATTCAAATTAAGCTAATGCCATACAACATTTTGGACAAATAATCAAATTGAAATCAAAATAAAACGATTTAATGAATTAGAGAAAAGCTCATCCTATATCCAACTTAAAAATCCCCCACACATGTACAATTCAAAGGGGGTACAAACCTATACGCTTTGGTAAGCTTCCCCTTGACAGAGTAATTAGGGAACAAAAGTAAATAGCCTTTCCTTGCCTTGCCTTAAAGCTTGCCATGTTTGGCAAAGGGACTCATCAGCAGAAATTTATTGCCTTGTACAATAATTCTTGATAATTTTGGTTCTAAATCTCATCCATTTTTCCGTCTAAAAGCGCAGTCCAAAGATACTTGGGAAACCATCCTTTTGTTGTGATCAGCTTGTGACGATCTGTGGGATTTTGGGTTGTATGAAGCAAACCTTCCCTGTCTGTGCTTTCTTCTTGAATGTGTTGATTGGGGGATGAAAACTCCAGTTCCTTTGGTTTCTCTTCTGCAGGATTGCTCATACCGAAAGACAGGATGTGCAGGTGGATGGATTGCACAAGAGAAAGCCTGTAAATTCAAAGCACAATTAATCAGTCCCTTCATCTCCCAGATAGAACAAGTATAAAACGATATAAACGCGATCAAGAGCTCAAAAGTAAACAATCACACACAACGACACTAATATTTAACATGGTTACCGCACACTCTTTTTCTTCTTGTGCACATCGCTTGGCTTATTCATTCCAAATGTGAGGAATAAACAAAGAGTATGCAAAGAGGGAAAAGAGGTTGCGGAAATCACTTTGCATGAATATGAGCTACGTCCACAAGTTGCTAGGGTATCCAGTATAGAAGAAGAAGAAGGAGAAGAAGGAGAAGAAGAAGAAGAAGAAGAAGAAGAAGAAGAAGAAGATAAACGATTACAATCACCGCAAATGAAGTGTATACCTGAAGAGAAACTGAAGGGTAAGTTGCCATAGGGTCCTCCTCATCATCCATAATTAGAAGGGAGATTTGCTTAGTTAAGTCTGCAAAGAACAAGTCATCCTCTAGTTTCTCCATGGCAACTTCCATGCCTGCAGCTCAATCTAGAACTTGAGTTTTTCTGTGTGTTAAGCAAGACTGATCAGTGAAGGGTTTTAAAAGTCTCCAAATCTGAAGCTCTCTTGATAAAATCTAAAGGGAATAAGTAGGGATTTTAAATAGGGGAAAAGCAAAGGGGGGAGGGAAGGGGATGGCTTTGCGCAGCCATGTGGAGTGGTGGGCTCTACGGTGACAGTTGGCCTATCTGTAATTTAAGTCCCACTGATCCCGCAAGAATCATGTTGTGTGTCATCATATTATCCAGTTGCCCTATAAGAGATGAGGAACAGCCGGCAACAACCCACACCCAGATATATCCCAATCCAAGATAGACGACTCAAAATCCCTAGCAAAACTTGCATACTTGGTTGTAAATGACTTCTCTGCCTCTCACATCCACTTCCCCAAAAAGACCTAGTTTATGGTTCAAGATTCACATACACGTCCACACAAAACAAACATGGTTCATTTACAGTATTATTTTAAGGGTGTAGGTAAATTAGGAGAAATTGTCATATCCACTCGTGTTGCTAGTAGCTTCTATTATATTAGTAAAGCGTTTAGCGGCCAACCTATGGAAGAGTTCGCCAACAATAAGAGCATAACTCTTTCTCGACTATTTCAGAATGCTGAATAAATCAAAACTATAAATATGAAAACGCGTACATTTAATGATAATATACCATAAAATATAAACTAAGTTATCCATCAATTAGACATCATATATATAACGAATCTCTTGTATAAGCAAAAATAAGAAGAAAAAAATCAATACCAAAATGATGTGTTGTTTTTTTAAAATTAAAGGAGAATGGTGTGTATGCATGAAAATCAATCACAAACAACAAGGGTGCATGTAGAACCATTTGGTTCACTATGGTTAACATGTTCTCGTTACTAATCCACTTGTGTTTATTTGCAGCTTCACTCAACGGAGAAGCCTTACTAATTTACTATTCTATTAGTAAAGCACTAATACTCAACTAATGAAAACTTTCGCTGATAGCTAACAACATCACTCGTTATTGACGTTCTTACACTAACCGAATCCAATCCATAAGTTCGGAAACACATAAATTTAGTAATACTTACCTTGAAGAGTAAACATATCATCCATCCATGTTCAATTAGCCCTCATATGCATATCTTGTATAAGCCATAAAATGAAGAAAAAATCAAAACCAAAATGATGGGTTAGTTTTTTTGAAAATGAAAGGAGCTAGTGTGATGTGCATGAAAATCTATCAACCAAGTGTGCAAATAGCACCAACTGGTTCACTAGGGTTGCGTAACATGTGGGCCGGAATTCATGCCTAGAGAAATAGACTTGTTGGCAGATAAATTTGATCTTTTGTGTGTGCTTGTTTATTCCCACTTCTTCAAGGAACAAACTGTATCAGTCAGTCAATTGCAAGAGCATTAACTGAGTAAGATGCATTATTGTTCTTTTTCTTTCCACTTGCGTGTTTCATTGTACGGTGTTGCTTGGTCCTCCTCCTTTTTCCACACGGTTTCATGGCTGGCGTTGGTTGAGCATTAGGGTTGCATGCAATATCATGACCCCTAAGACGACCATTGATTGAAGCATAACAAATAGTTATGAAAAGATCTTACCGTCGTGAATTTCGTGATACATCTCTTTGTGTTTACAATACTCATACGATCTAGAATATATTTCTTTGTGTTTGTAGCAATCATCACGTGATATGTAGCAGATGATGAATTTGTAAACATAAAAAATGTACTTGGATGACGCATTAGATTTCTTAACCAAAAAAAATCATAGTTTCATGGTTGGCTTTGGTTGAGCTTTAGTAACATGTGGGCCGGAATTCATGCCTAGAGAAATAGACTTGTTGGCAGATAAATTTGATCTTTTGTGTGTGCTTGTTTATTCCCACTTCTTCATTCATCTCCCTCCCCCTTCAAGGAACAAACTGTATCCGTCAGTCAATTAGGGTTGCATTATTGTCTCTTTTCTTTCCACTTGCATGTTTCATTGCATGGTCCACCTCCTTTTTCCACACGGTTTCATGGCTGGCGTTAGTTGAGCATTAGGGTTGCATGGAATATCATGACCCCTAAGAAGACCATTGATTGAAGCATAACAAATAGTTATGAAAAGATCTTATTTCGTGATACATCTCTTTCCTTTTGTGTTTACAATACTCATACGATCTAAAACATATTTCTTTTTGTTTGTAGCAATTATCATGTGATATGTAGCAGATGATGAAATTGTAAACATGAAAAATGCACTTGGATGACACATTAGATTTCTTAACAAATAAAAAATAAAAAAAAAATCATAGTTTCATGGTTGGCTTTGGTTGAGCTTTAGAGTGACACAGTAGATTTTCTCAATAATACGTGTTTAATTTGGTAATTTACTTCACATGTTATTTGATTATTATATTATATTAGTTGAACGAGGATTACTAAATATCCTCATTTCTCGGAGTAGAATGTTGGGTTGGATGTGGGATCCAACCTTGAAGCCGGTCATAGACTCATAGGCCTCAAATTAATTGGGGATTTTGAACTATCTAATTTGGAAAGACAGCCTCATCCTCAAGCTCCCATGATCTTACTTTTGTTGTGGTTAACTTGACAGCTGCGCATTCATACTCTGACTTTTCAATGGCAATCAAGTTTCGGATATTTGGATCTTCTTGGCTGCGAATCAATCATAAATAATCTTCAAACTTGTCTTGCAATGGCATCCTTCGTATTTTGGGAAATTACACTAGTATCTTCTACCAGAGCATGTTTTGGAATACTATCCTATATTTCACAGAAAAACTTAAAAAGTGATTCCAGATCTTGAAGCACTTTATGAAGAAACAACTGGTACGTGATTGCTCGATTTACACTTGTATTTTTTGATAAAATTTTCAACATGTTTGTAATAAAAGCACTCTAGCAAAAGCGCTTACAAGCAATAGAGCCCAAATAAATGAAGTTTTTCGGAAAAAGACCTGCTAGTGGAGGAAGACCTCCCAAGGATTTCTACCGAAGCGATTCCAAACGGACTAATTCAATCATTAGAACAGGAGGTAAAAAGACGGCATTTTGTAGCACCGGACTAAATAAGACGTGAATCCATTGGCCATAACCGGAAAACCGTTATCTTTTTCATCAAAACAATTGTTCAGGGCAACTTGAAACTGTAAAATCTCATTGCTCTCATGGTGATAGTAAAAGATCAATTATCTTTCGAGATATTAATATTCCAAGACAAAATTTACAACTTAGAATGGTTTTCAACCTTGCCTCACCAATCCCGCCTTTTGCTTCAATCGTATTTGGGAGAGAATCTTCAAAAGCTCTGTAACTCCTCTGGTCTTTGATTAGGTCCAGTGAAAAACTCATGCCTCTCCTGCGGTATCCATATCTGTGATCCCATCAACTCCTTCGAAAATAACACGCAACTTTCTCAGACACGAAGTCTTTTTGTCATTCGTGGTGGTTGTACCGCTCGCATGTACAACATCCTTAGCAACTTTACCCATTAGCTCAAAAAGTGGTACGCTTAGGTTTGATCTGGTCATCTCTTCCAGTACAGGTGGCGCCTGCATGTACAGATTCTTCCCTCTGTGTGAGATGCTTGCTTTCGATAATAGCAATTTCGGGTGTTCTTCAAGTAGATCGATGAACTGTTGCCATAAGTTGAATTAGAGACTAGAATCCCTTTTTGTTTATTAAGTTACACGAACCTTTTAAAATAGAAGACAAAACAAGCGGAACTGACATCAAAAGCAACGCCAAGGAACATAAATATCACTACTCAGAAGGTTTTAAAGCGAAGATCAAAAGGATCATAACTAAAACAAAGTATAGCATTTGCCTCCTAGACATGCAATAGCTTTCATCCGACAAGCAATAGATTCCGGTTATATCTTAGGAATATAACTAACATGCAGGACTTCGAAACTTAAACATGAATGTCACCGAAACTAAATTTTCTCCAAAGATATGTTCACAGAAACCAAATTCTAGCAAATCAAAGGAAATAGAAAATAACCTTTTGCAAAGTAATTGAGGTGTCCAGTTGAACAAGAACACCTGGTCCGCATTCAATACAGTCTTTGTCCCTGACGAATTCAGTCACTTTCGTGTGGAGACCTGCTGCACCATTATAACTACAAAGACTCCGAACACTCGGTAAATATTGAAATCTAACCTTTTGCTACAAGTTTGATTAGATGAAACATGTGCAGCCATTCACTTTAATTTTGAAAATAATGTTCAATAATGACCTAGCATCCAGAGCAAGCTAATTTGACAATGTAAGAAGACATTGGCACTTTTCACAACCTTAGCATTGCAATCTAACTTTTTAGAGATTTAAGTATAATGAAATGCAAACTTGGAGTAAATGCAATTAAGAGGATAGGGGGATTCACTAATCCTAAACTATTTTGCGGGTGGTCATTCACTAATCCTATACATAGATTTGCAACCATACTGGTTATGACTTAAGACATCTAGGACAAGATGATAAGTCGAGTAGTATAGAAGAGGAATGGAACGCACGTTAAATAGTTTGATAGTGTTTTGCTGCATCCAGATGCAATCTTCAATGTCTCTAGTGCACACGCAGCTGATATAATTGCATTTGTGGAAGCAATAGCTGGTATGATGTTCTTCACAACACCCTGTAAACATAATCTGCTTATTAATTAACACCCAAGCCAAACTATGCAGTTAAGTGGCATAAAATCTTAAAAGGAAAATAATCTTAGGAGAAACAGACATCTTTAGTACATATGCACCTGAGTAAGAGAATATGTGACTCCTGGAATACCGAAAAGCTCAGCTCTCTTGGTAGCCTATTGGATATTGAACAACAAAATCTAAGTTAAAATGAACATCAGTATAAACAAAATGTAAATCACTCCACAACTGTACTTCACTGACCTCATCATAGACCCACTTCATATGCTCTGGATCATCTGGATCAAAAGCCTTTCCGCTATGTACCTATTTGTAGAATGCATTTTTAGTTGCCATTCCATCAATTCTCTCATGCAACAGTTATAAAGTGTAACGAAAAGTAAAGGGGAAAGAACATTGAAATTTTGGGCAATGTATCACCTCATCCCATTTGATTAAATGAGCATATTCAATACAATGAGCAGCAGTTCTAGGGGTTTCTGCAAGGGTGCACAGAGGGAACTTCACTTGAGGGGGAAAAAGCCAGATGGTGCACTCAAAGCATGGAGTGACCCCTGGCATAATGACCCTAGCATGTCCTTGAAAACCTTCAGTCCCTCCATCTACCATAGGCTTGATGGTTTCTTCTTGTGGGCTATCATCAGAATTATACTCTTCCAAAAGAATAACAAATAAAATGCGAAGGGCCACGTTAGCTCAAATATAGTAAAGTAAAAGCAATTCATCATTTCAAGAATGACGTACAAAGGGTAGAAAGGGATAAGGCCAGCCACGACATAAGGACTTTACCAGGGACCAAAAAAAAAAAAAAGAAAAAAAAAGCCCCAAATACTGTTATACATATATCCGACACTAGAGACGAAAGTTCAAACCAAAAACTAGACCAATTTTGATACCCTAAAGTTGCAAATGCATATCATAAGGAAGGTAGTGGAGTCAGTTTCTCAAATTTGACACCTTAGACTCTACACCTTAAAGTTGCAAAACGGGACCGGTTTTGGATAGCAAGTTTAATAACCAAAATATATCCTCTGCAGGATTTTCTGGGACTATTTTATTCACATCTATTCTTTCTGTTCTCATACGAAAATAAACTCTCTAATTATTAATAACTAGAGCAACAAGGAAGGTCAATAATCAGCACCACACAAAGAACAAGTGCAAATATAATTACAGGAAGACCTGAAGTCGTATAATACTTTTAATGAATTACACAAATGTAGTAGAGAGACAAAATATGAGAAAAATGGATAGGTTGAAGTACTAACCAAGAAAACTACAAGCAACAGAATTTATGTAGCTCCGAGCCTCAATGGAATCAAGACCAAGGACGATAATACTGAAATCACTATAAAATTCAAGCTCCTTGTCCTCAATCCGGCAAAAATGTGGAATGATATTTACACCACTAACTCTCTCCATGACACGTTTTGCAGCCACCTCAGCCTTTGGCTTGCCTACATCTTCAAGTCTACAACAATAATTTCATGAGGAAAGCACTGTAACAAGAAATTGACATGCCAACTCTTTTTCTTCCCTTGTTTTTCATATCGATAATGCACATAATAGATAGGAAACCACAGTATTCATTAGTATAACGCAGCAGGAACGGATATCAAAATAGAAGATTCTGAAGCAGATAGAATCCTAATATTGAGATATTAGACATTCAGTAACACACACAAACATGAATGATTCAGGCATAAGTTTACTATTAAGATTAGAAAGTCGGGTTTCTCCGAAAACTTCAGCCTAAGATCACTTACCAGAACTAAAGTATTGATAGATTATACAAGTTTTCCATACTCGATAGCTATTGAAAGACCGCGATAACAGGGCAATAAAAAAGCATATTCAACAAACTCTCCGATTCAAAAAAATACCCATAACAAATTAAAGCAAAAGGCACCAAAAAAATTTCAAATAACCTGAAGAGGAACTGGCGATTGAGATTGGAAACCTCGATACGATCCATGTCTATGACTTCGAGCTCCCGAAAGCCAGACAAAGCCAAGTCCTTGAGCAGCTCGCAGCCCAGCCCACCAGCCCCGACCACCAAAACTCTGGCGTACTCTTTGAGGTCATCTCGCAGCTGCAACAAAAGCAAAAGTAAGAAACCGACGAAATCGTACAATCGATCGAAAGAGAAGAATGGTAGAGAGAGAGAGAGAGAGAGAGGGAAAAGGGGGAATAAGGTTTACTCCGGGGCCGGGTTCGAAGGTGGGTCCGACGAGATTTCCGGCGCGGAGGAGTAGCTTGTCGAGGTCCCTGGATCGGCTGTCTTCGGCGGTAGACGGTGGTGCCATTTTCTGGTCGCTGTTTGCTGATGAGACGAGAAGGCCCGACGTACAGAAGGCGAGAATCTTTCTACTTTCGCTGAGCGAAACGGAGTGGTTTTAGAACCCGGGAGAATAGCACATTGGAATCCCTATTTAAATTTTATTATTTATTTTAAAAATCAGTATTTTTGTTTTAGTTTTTTCTTTTTTTTGAGGACATTAATTTGGTATCAAATTCATCATCCACGAGATTCGAACTTAAACATCTCACTTCTAAATGAAAAGGAATACCACCAGACTGTAGTATTTTTTGTTGTACTTATTTTTGTGATGTAGTAATATTTTTCGTAACTCATTGTCAATAGCTTTGCATTATGGGTCTAACTACGTATTTATATACAATGTGTAGTGAAAAATGAACAATGTGACATCCCGTTCCGGGATTATTAAAACGTACGTGTGGAATTACCATTTTGCCGCTAGTGTGTTTTTCGTCACATTGTGGGGTTGTTTTGTGTGTGGTGGCATGTGTTGGGCCACACACACACACACCTGCACCTACACTGTCTCTCATCACCCTCTCTCTGTCTCTGTCCCGTGTCTCTCTCTCTCTCTCCTTTTCTTCTTCCTCTTCTTCCTTCGACGTACGGACAAACATCAAAACCACCCAAATCATCACAGATCGAGGAAACCAAGGACACCATTCAACTCGTGAGGTCGAGGCAAGCTTAGCCATACCTTTTTCAGGTGAGAAACACATCGTTTTCACGTCGATTCAACAATGGCCGATTTTTGTACTGTTCATGCAAAGTTTATTCATTTAGTTTTTGGGATTTCTAAGCTCGTAGGTGTGTTTGTGAGGTTCCCAGGAGCTTGGGAGTGGCTCGTTGGTTGAGTTTGGACGTTAGGATCCTTGGTTGTGGAGTTGGCCGGTTTTGGAAAGCTTGCACAGGTATAATCTAGTGAGTTTTAGACCTTAATTTGTGTTTGGTTGTGTTCTACTAGTTTAGGGCTTTAATTTGGTGCAAGAAACGTGGAAAAAGGTGGAAAAACGAGAGAGTTGTAGCGATTTGCAGGTTTTCCGGCGACGGTGCCGGCGACGGCGTCGGGGACTGGCCGGAGAAGAAGCAGGAATATTCCGTTAAGTTTGACGGAATATTCCTGACGGCAGGGGTTAAGTTTGACGGAATATTCCGTCAGTTTGACGGAATATTCCTGACGGCGTCTGTTGACACCGTCAGTGTGCCTGGCACGTGACCGCGCGTGGGGGCGCGTGGGTCCGTGCCTGTTCTGGCGCGTGGGGGCGCGTGCGGGGTCCAAAAATTATTTTAAAATTATGGTTGTGATCCTGAGGTTGTGTAGAGCACGTTGGTATATTCATATGTCCATTTTGAGCATTGTATGAGAAGTTATTTTGAGAAATGGGTTATGTGCTTTAAAGTTAACGTTTTTATAGTTGTTTCGCATTTAGGTGACACGTACCCCGAGGACGAGCGTGCACACGCGAGACAGGGGGGCTACGACCCTTCCACGTATCAGTGAGTGGGCTTTTGTTTTCCGTATATACCTATATACATTTATTTTCCCAGAAATTGATTAAAAAGGATTATTTACATTATGCCATGCACTTTATTATTATCGTTTACGCATCATTGCATGCATTATTATGGCATACATATACATATGCATATTGGGTGCCGTGGACGCACAGGTAAGTGCCAGGTAAGTGACATTCACGTTTATGTTTCAGTAGTGGTTTGAGATGCCTAGAGAGCTCATAACCTGCACCCCCGGTGTTAGTGCTCCCGCCCTGAGCAGGGCACAGGCTTTCACGTGATGTTCACCTCTCGCACCTTAGGCTCAGCTTGGATCCAAGCTAGGTGCACAGGCCTGTCGTACAGACCACATTAGGTGGTTCCGACTCGTAGGTGACCCGCGATTATTCGCCCAGGCTTCACGTGATCGTAGCACTTAATTACACCCCAGCCCTGTCGTACAGACCACTTTAGGTGGTTCCGACTCGTGGTCAGGTTCAGATATTGAGATTGAGATTAGAGCTCTATATGCAGCCGTACAGGTCACGTTAGGTGACTCCGGCTGCCAGATTTCACGATGTTGATATGATTATACCTGAGCACTTGCATATCTTTATGAGATGTTGGCATGGCATATTATCGAGCATATGGCATATATTTGAGCATGCTTAACACATGTACTTTGCGTATATATATATTTTCTGGGAAGTATACAGGTTTTACGGCGAGGGGTTAGAATGTATTTTGCTAAATGATTTTCAAAGAGCTTTGTTTTTGCCCACTCACGCTTTTGTTTTGCGCCCCTCCAGGTTCTAGTTGCTTAGCCGTTGCGGTGGTTTCCCCAGAGGGCTTTTCGGCGTTTCTGACAGACACTCACCCTTGTAGGGTCGCCTTCGGGCATACCACTGTTGTCGTTTTTGTTGGGCTGCTATAGACCTGCTCTGGAATTGTACCGCACATACTAGCACTTATTTTAGTAATTTGTATGCTAGTTTTTAATTATTCGTACCTTTTATTACTACTTTATTAGCTTCCGCACGTGCACATGGCTACGTCACCTTCGTGTGACGGCCAGCACGCTCCGATCTCGGTCGGGGTGTGTCAGTTTGGTATCAGAGCCTAGGTTTGGCAGTCCTGTGTCCTTGTGAGTATTCTAATGATTTTGGTGTCTTCTGTCAGAATTATGCCTCCTCGTCGGGAACCACGTCGTACTTCCGAGTCTAACTTCCCCGATGTCGCTCAGTTGGGGGAAGTCTTTGCTACAGCCCTTCAGTCAGTGATGCGCCCTCCCCAGAGGACTCCTCTGGAGACTATGTATAATCTGAAGTTGGATAAGTTTAAGGGCAGTGAGGGGCATGAGAATGCAGAGCGCTGGCTAGAACACGTAGAGAAGACCTTCCGCGTATTGCATAACCAGGGAAATCTCCCTATGGAGAGGTGGGTCGAGACGACCACATGGTTCCTGGATACTGAGTCTGCAGCTTGGTGGGAGCAGGCGCTTCGTAGGTTGACTCCAGAGCAGAGGACGGATTGGAATGTTTTTACAGATTTGTTCAAAAAGAGGTATGTGCCCCCTGAGTACATCGATAGAAAGAAACAGGAGTTTACTGAACTGAAGCAGCGGAAGATGTCGGCGAATGAGTACTACCGCAAGTTTACGGATTTGTCTCGTTATCATCCTGATGTCGCTGGTAATCCGGCGGAGATGCTCCGTCTCTTCCGCCAAGGTACTAAGAAGAAATGGCGTTCGATGGCGACTGCTGTCCACAGCGGGACTTACCAGGACTTCTATGAGATATTGTTGAGGATCGAAGACTCTGAGAATATGTCGAGCGATAGTGATGAAGGGAAAGACGGCAATTCGAAGAAAGACGACAAAGGTAAAGGTCAAGTATCGCTCGGGCCCCGTCAGACGCAGAACTTCAAGAGGGGTGGTGCTAGCTCGAGTTCTTCGAGTGGTGGCTTCAGTGCCACTGGACAGGGTCGTGGAGGTAGATTTTCTGGTGGCGCTAGAGGCCAGAGGCAGGGCGATGGTGGGCGAGGTAGAGCCCCAGTTTGTCGCAGGTGTAACAACCGGCATTTCGGCGAGTGTAGACGTGGTAGCAGTGGTTGCTTCACGTGTGGACAGGTGGGACATAGAGCGGCAAATTGTCCCCAGGGCCAACAGCAGCAGAAACCGCAGCAGACCTTTATGCCACCACCTGCACCGCTTCAGCAGATCCAGGGTCCTAGTAGTTACGGCCAGGCGGGCCGAGGTGGTGCTTACCACTATCAGGGTGATGCTGTCCCTTATGCTCCGGGGCAGTATCAGTACCCCCAGGATCCCTATTCCCAGGGTGGCTATCCTCAGTATTCGGGCGGCTATATGCCATATCCTCCAGCTCCAGTAGGTGGTTCTCAGTGGTACCAGGGAGGACAGTATCAGCAGGGTGAGATTGCCACTAGCAGTGCAGGGTCTTCGAGACAGTCGGGTCAGCCCAGTCAGGGGCGTGGTGCTCAGGGACGCGGTGTTCGGGCGAGTGGAGGCCGCGGCGGGCGTCAGCAGGGACAGGGGCGTCTTCACAATATTTCTCTGCAGGACGCTCAGAACAACCCAGACTTGATTATGGGTACGTTGAATATTCTTGGTTGTTTTGCTAGAGTCTTAATTGATTGTGGAGCTACACATTCCGTAATTTCTCATACTTTTGCTCAAGTGACGCAACCTCGCCCCACACCTCTAGGGTACGATTTAGAGTTCGCTATGCCTAGAGGAGAGAGATGTGTTGTAGATTGTGTTTACCCAGGGTGTCCAGTGATCGTAGAGGGTGTTGCCTTGTCAGCTGATCTTATCCCGTTAGATATTGTGGATTTTGATGTGATTCTGGGCACGGATTGGTTACATTTCTATCGTGCCAACATTGACTGTTACGGGAAAGTAGTTACGTTTCACCGACCTGGACTACCTGAGGTTACTTTTGTGGGTGAGCAAAGTGGGGTGAGACATGGTGTTATTTCGGCACTACGAGCGAAAAAGTTATTGTCTAAAGGCTGCCAGGGGTACCTAGCACATGTGGTGTTGGATGAGGCCGCTCCTGGTAGAGTCGAGGATGTGAGAGTGGTCAGACACTTTCCTGATGTTTTTCCGGAGGATTTACCTGGTCTACCCCCAGATCGAGACGTAGAGTTCACCATTGAGTTACTTCCAGGTATTAATCCTATTTCTCTAACTCCATATCGTATGGCTCCCGCGGAGTTAAAGGAATTGAAAGTTCAGCTGCAGGAGTTAGTGGATAAGGGATTTATTCAGCCTAGTACTTCGCCTTGGGGCGCTCCAGTTCTGTTTGTGAGGAAGAAGGATGGAACTTTGAGGCTGTGCATTGACTACAGGCAACTGAATCGGGTGACGATTAAAAACCGTTATCCATTGCCTCGTATCGATGATTTGTTCGATCAGCTGAGAGGTGCTTGTGTATTTTCCAAGATAGACTTGAGGTCTGGTTACTATCAGCTGAAGATCAGTAGGGATGATGTCCCTAAGACGGCATTCAGAACTCGTTACGGTCATTACGAGTTTCTGGTTATGCCATTTGGTTTGACGAATGCACCAGCCGCCTTTATG